GGGTCGGGTCCAATTTCTGTGACAGGGGCTGATTCACCATTCTCGGCGAACCGTTGCGGCAAGAGGGGTGCACGTCTTGCTGGCGTCCGGGTTGGAGAAGTGATAGAGAACCTGATTGATAAGGGCCTTTCCAGCAAGGATATCCCATTGGTCAATGCTAAAGGCTGCAGTGGGCGCAACTGCAGCCAAAGCGGCAATTGTTGAGAGCACTGCGAACCGCATACCGAAAGCTTCCCTTATCGACAAGGACAAGTTGAAAAGTTGAAGAGGATGACAAGGAAGGAAAGAAAAAAGAGAAAAGGCTTCGCTTGGTTTCTGGCTATTTAAACATATTGCTGGGAGAAAACAATGCCAGGCCGGCGCGCCTTAGTCGGCACCGAAGCATAAGAATAAACTGTCCGCTTGCATGCAGCCTAAGGGCAAATAGTATGCTCTAATGGTACCAAGACTAGATATAGCTCTAGAACTATTGGCAAGAACACATATTTAGCTTATGATAAGTGAACGTGGGAAACTGAACTGCTATGTCGGTGGAGCGAGACGTGCATAGAAGGCTTGATATTCTGTCTTGATTATTACCTGTCTATATTATTGCATTTAATATCCGACCGTTGTCCGACCATAGAATGCCGGAAGATCACATACAATGACAGCGAGTCGATGGAGATAATTGTAAACTTTTGAGTGAGGTCAAAGAGAACGGACCCCCCTGTTCCCTTAGGGTTACGGCCAGCTTGCCACTGTCAGCACGAGGATGTAACGACTAACGAGTCAAGAGAATCCACAATATACGGGGGTCATCTCCCACCTCCGAACTTTTCATGAAATGTTTCGGACAATTGGACAATTTAATTGCACTGACTCGTTCTCGAGCATAGACCCGGCCAATCACGGGAAAGAGAGTTCAAGGATAGGACACTATCTCATCTCACAATGGCACCATATCCACAGGACAAGTCATTACTGCTGAGAGAGAACTTGGGCTAGAACTCTGCGCCGCACCACCAGGTAGACTAAGCCAGGCAAACCTGGTAAATACTTTCCACTTTTCCCTGGTGAAGGCCAGGGACGGCAGACTAGCCTCCGGGACTAATATAGTAGCGTTGTGCAGCTAGCACCTTTCCATACTGGCCATTTCAAGTGTCTTGGACATATTTAACCCTCGCCTAATGGATCGACGGACCCTGATTGACCAAGAGCTATATTGGCACTAAGTGGACATTTCTCAGCGCCATTTATGATTTGCCAATTGTCGACCGTCACTATTCTCCTCTTAGGTATATCGCCCGCTACTGGCGGAGAATACCCCGTGGTATCTCCAGATCGAGTTCTTAGTCGATATCTTGTTGACAGGGTTTGTGGAACCTGGCCTATAATAATCATTGACGGAATATGAAGTGAGACCGACATCAGCTCCGTTCTTGTATTGGAGAACGAATGGAGACGACGCTACTCCAGCGGAGTTTAGGAAAAGCGAGGGCTCCCGGGCCCCCGGCTTAGCATTGGTATTATCTAGTATGGCCTGGATAAATTCGACCTCGCTGAGTTTGAACGAATTCAGGCTATGCTTCTATCTCAAACCGGGCTACTGCAACTAATTCGGCTACTGGAGTACGGATACAATGCCGTTATTATTATTACGTGTTCAAGCCAGCTTGCTGCACGCTGCCGAGTAGATTACTCTCTTAATCACCCTGTGCCGTGTGGGCTGGCCTGCCTTTGATTCTACCGGAAGAGCGACTCTTCTCGGTAAAGGAAGTGGTAAAACCGTCTTTTTTACATTTGCCAATCCACTCCCATGGTGGCACTTAGGCAGTACTCGATACAGTGGCATGAGTTGGAGGGATTTAGAACATGCTTACGGGCTCCAGAGGGGTACCCACTTGTTTCTCATCCAGCTGTCCTCCCTCTGAACGTGGCAAATAAGCCAGAAGCAAGAATCTTCCCGTGTGTTCGGAGGAAGCTAGAGCACGGCTGGCACTTGGTCCCATGCTTAGTATGGATCTCACGTCCGCAGTATATTGGCCATAACATTAGTCTGATTCATGCCAACATGCCAAGAAGCAGTATATGCACCTGAGTCGGGTATTCGGACAACCCCGGTCCTTTTGGTTGCCACCTTTAGTAGAATTCCAAGGGAAAAGGGAGATGAAGGACCGAAGTCCCCTGTTCCCTGCTATCTCAACGAGACTGGAAGCACCGATTTGTCAAGAGAGTAGGCCGATTATTCTGAGACTTAGTGAAATGTATCCTTCCCCTGTCGGATATCATACCCTGTCTCCTTGGAAATACGGGGCGACATATGTAATTCTACTGGAAAGTTAGCTGTAGAACCTCTCGTATTCTCGAACCCTTGCGTTGCTATGTTGGTCTTCACAGGCGTACAAAACTTTATTCTGATACCTGCAGCTGCCCAGGCTCTTAGTGCCGGGGGCAAGCCATATTTCTGTCAATTGTTCCTGCATATCGACTAGGCCAACCGAAATCTCATTTTGTCCATAAGAGGGCAGAAGTATCCCAGACTCTTGAGCCCCAAGACGCATCGTACTGTCTTGCACGGTTGCACCGATCCCCGCGCGATTGCCCTCCCGCCGCGGATACATGTGGATCTCGTCCTCCGTTGCCATGAACGGCTCCTGATAAAGATCGACAAGACCCAAGAACTTAAAGGATCGCGATCTTGGTCGGGCGGATCGGAGATGATGAGTCCAATTCACCAGGCCTTCGAGGCCTTGGTTCCCCGGCAATCGACGTCTACGTTCGAACCCCCCCTCCACACAAGAGGCCCTACCAATGCGCCTCGAATTCTCGCCATTGTGGGCTTTTTGACGGGTCTATCGGCCTTGTTGGTTGTGCTGCGCTATTACGTGCGACTGTTCATTCTGCGAAGATTTGACATTGAGGATGGCATCATCCTTATATCCCAGGTAGGTTGTGTTCTTCAGACAGTCATTGGCGGGCAGTACTAATCATATCCATCGTTTATAGGCATGCGCTTTTGGTGTCCTTGCATGTTTCATTGGAGAGACACAACGTGGACTGGGCCATTACACCAGTGATATCGGCTTGTATGATTTTGTGCCATTGGCCAAGTGGACATTTTTCCATGCCATTGTCATTGTGCTGGGGATAAGTGCAGTAAAGATATCGCTTGCCTTCTTTCTGCTCCGATTCGCGTCGCAGAATAAGTTCATCAAAAGGTTCATCATCGGGGCGCTGGGTAAGTTTGGACAGGCAACCTAAAAATACATATACGGACTGCTGACTATCCAAAGTCTTCCTTATACTTTTTACAATTGCCTGTGTCTTAACACTGATATTCCAATGCTTGCCCGTCAGTGCAGCGTGGGATTATGCCCAAAGGGCCAAAGCAACGTGTTATTCAAACAAAACCTACCTAGCTATTGGTGAATTCAACAGTGGTAAGTTTCTTCTTCTCTTCTAAAAAGGGGGTTACTGACAGTGCCTCCAACAGCTATCAATATTGTTACTGATTTTGTTTTTGCAACTCTGCCGGTTTTCATGTTCTATAATATCCAAGTCAACAAGCGCACTAGAGCCTCCTTGATGGGGATTCTTAGTCTTGGGTACTTGTGAGTTGTTTCTTCCCAAGGTACTAATGGAAAACTCATGGAATGTCAGTGCCTGCGCCGCAGCTATCGCCAAAACAGTTTACCAAGGTCGGCTGTTCGAGGAGAAAGATGCATGGCGGTAGGTTGACCATCTAGTTTCAGTTTCAGGCCCCTACAGAGCTAATTCGCGTTCCGTGGCTCAGTGACCCTAAATTCCTCATATGGAACTGGTATGTTGACCTATTTTCTTCGATACCCAGCACAGAACTGACATTTGACATTTTCTACAGCGTTGAGCTCAACGTTGGCATCGTCGCTGCCTGTTTCCCCACGATCAAACCACTCGTCAAGTCTGCCATCGGAAGCACTTGGAGTTTGGCCAGCAACTCCCGCTCGCGAAAGCGAACAAACAACGCTTACTACGGACAGTCGTCGAGCCATGCATTGGGCTCCATGAGACGCAGCCGGTTAGAGCATGAAGCGCAAAAGTACAATGTGCATATCGATGCTGTTCGAACATCCCTGTCAGCGTCTGAGGGGGGAAGCGAGGAGAACTTGGCATCTCATCCGCGTCTTCAGCGTCTGTCATCCTCAAGGATACTGCGCACAACAGAAGTAATCGTGCACACTGAGGGGGGAATCGATGCGGTTGGGCCGGGTATAGGGCCCAAACGGTCAGTGGATGACCGAGTATAGCCACGATGTATGACAGATCCCCGAGGCATGAGCATGACTTTGTTTTCCCAATTATATCTCAAAATAATATGCTAGTCTTCTTTCGAGAGTCATATGGCCGATGGGCTCTTACCTCGCCCACTAGTTTAGGCGCTGCAACTGATCGTAACTTCCGCTGAGAGCTCTTCCAGGCTCATAGTGATGTTGATGCCAGTCGCAAGGGTATCACTGTCACAATAATCCCTTCAGTTATATGTCGTTCACCTTTATGTTACAGCCTTAGGCAAGAAAATACCACGTGACCTTACCTCCGTCGTCTTCCCGGCTTCCTTCCAGCTTCCACTTTCCCGACCACAATTAAATCTGCGCCTTCTGCTCGTCCCTAAAGCCGTTTCTTGAACACTCCAGACTTCTGTACAGGTTGAATGAATGCTGTGTCTCTATAAGCGGACGGCGGTGCCTTGGCGTTACTAAGCGAGCCAATGGTAGAGCGCGCTAAAAAGCACGTGCCTTCGGCTTGCTTGGCAAATGGCAACAACTTTGATCTCTCCATCTCGTGTTCGATCCAAATTGCTTCACATCGGAGGTTCCTGCGAGAACCTTACGCCACTTGGCCGTGGATCAAGTTCTTCGCACCAGACGCACTGGGTCAGATGGAGACAATACACGCGGAGTTGCTTTCCCCAATTTGAGGTCTCCATAGTTGGCACTAAACTGCTCATATCACGCCGCGTTCAGTGCAGCACCGGCGCCATGGGGGACGCAGCAAGGTTGCCGGTGCTCGCACCCGCTTCCGTTGGCACGCCGCGAGTTGTGGAGATATCGACTTTCGAACGTCGCCGTCACATCGCTTTGACAGCTTGCTCGGAGTGTCGTGCCAAGAAACGTAAAGTAGGTTTCAACGAGATGTACCCAACCACCTACCCGGTGTTGACTTTTCTTTCCGCTATCAGTGCAGCGGAAAAAGTCCGTGTCCGGCATGCGTGTCGCTGGGCATAGAATGCCTGCTTGACGCGGAGAGCAGTCACCGCCGCCTAGGCGGTTCCAAGCGACGAGGCGCTCAAATGGAGAGTAAGAACTCGACTCTGAAGAAAAAGGTGCAACCGCTGGAGATTGAGTTGTTAAGACGCCATCCACCCGATTTGTCAACGGCGCCTGCCGAGGCCTGCGAGGTGGCCGTGACTAGGTACGAATCGGGTGAGACATGCGCCCGTGATGTTCAAGGCACGGTCTCGACAGATTCTGTCGAGCAGACCGGGACTGATTCAGTCTCTGTGCTCAAAAATAGCTCTTCCGATCGGTCGACAGAAGACTGGAACAGCATCTGGGCTGTATATGAGAGAGTCCGCGACTGTGCACCGGCAGACCTGTTCAAGGTAGTCAATGCCATCCGCAGTAGCTCAGATCCGACACGAGCAGCGCAATATTTGCACCAAGTCTCCCTTGGTCGACTCGCTGATGCTCACGTCGGCTTGTCGAACTTAGCAGCAGAGCATAAGCTGATAAGCTCACCGAGGCTGCCGGCCCTGTGCGATGAGCCTATCCTCTTCGCTCCTGCGAAGCCATGGACGACCATCACAGACAGTGACCGACTGGTGTCACATCTACTCTCTCTATATTTTACCTGGGATTATCCCTGCTACACCTGGTTTGATCAGCATTTGTTCTTAGCTGATATGATAGCTGGCCAGTCGAGGTTCTGTTCACCACTCCTTGTAAATGCTGTATTAGCTCACGCCTGTGTAAGATGAGCCTTTCTGTCCCTCAACCTTGGCTTTCCTGACGGACTTCGCAGCTATACTCCTATAGTCTCCGAAGACCGTGGGATCGTTTTAAGGAGATGGATATGTGTATCCGTTTCCTGTCGGAAGCCCGGCAGCTCTGGATATCACATCCACAGCCTACCTTGACCTCAATTCAGGCACTGGTTGTCATGAACCTGACCTACAACTGCCTGGGTAAGGACAAAATCGGCTGGTCTTGCCTGGCGGCCGCGATCCGCATGGCAAATGAGCTAAAATTGTATGAGCCGTTGTCTGGTGTCCGCAGCGCGGGTTCCGTTGAACCGGCCTGGAATAGAGCACATGCGGTCACAGCCTGGGGGCTTTTTGAGTGGCAGGCGTAATTATCAGCCCCTGTTGAAGCTTGTTTGCACCATATCTGATTCGTAACAGACTCGCGGCAAGTGTAGTGGATGATGCTCCGCGTTTGGACCATCCTCCTTTTTATGAAATCCCATATTCAGACGCCGAGTTTCTCGATCACAGTCAACGTTGGCACCCCTATCCTTTTAGCGGTCCTCTTTACCCGTCGCGCGTCTTCTCGACGGTCAGAGCCAGGTTTCAGTTGAGCGTGATTATCAACGACGTCACCGAATTCATTTTGGATTCCCATCATGCCGCTCCTACTATCGAAACCTTTATGTTAATCCATGGAAGACTCGACAACTGGTTTGTCGAACTAAGTCCCGTGCTTCATCCTTCAAGAGACGCACCGCCACACATCTTCATCATGCAGTAAGTGCAACCACATCACCCATGCACCCATCCTTGCCTTGTCGCTTATAGCAATAGCCTCCACTACCACCTCGCCGTCGTCGCCCTCTGCAAGCCCATTCTCTCCTCAGGAGAACCCAACCCCTCCGTCCTGAGCATCTCCAGCAAAGCCAAGCTCGCCACACGCGAGATCATATTCCTCTTCAAGCGGACCTTCGGCTGGAAATCAGCCTCCAACTTCCTCAACCACGCCCTCACCTACGGCGCCTTCAACGCCATGCCCTTCGCCAAGGACGGCGATCCCCGCTGGCGCCAGTCCCTGGAGACTTGCATCAGCGGCCTCTGGTACATCTCCTTCTCCTTCCCCGTGTGCAGGTACTTGCTGCGCGCGATCCAGCATGCGCTCGTCGCGGCCGGGTTCGCGGATACAGACCTTTGTCCAGAGGTTGCCCGCATCCTGCGATATTTTGCGCGCAGTGTGTGGAAGAAGTCTCTGCTTGATACATTGGAGAGCAGGTATCCTGCCTTTGATCCGCAGAATAACTTACGGACGGTGGAAGATTTGCTTCTGTCGGTTGAGAGTCTGGCTTTGAATGATAAAAATGACGGTTGATGATCACGTGATCGTGTGATAAAATTAGCGTGGTCTGGCTGGTGAGACCTCATGGGCTTATGTATTCTATTTTCGGTAGCCCTGAATGAATCCCGTTATTATATGATGATTCAATATGATAGATAATAGATGACTTTTTGCGATCTGCATTCTAATGATTGTCTCGTGTTTCGTTGCCAGACGGACACGTGACCCTTGCGGGGTGCTCAGCCACTAACTAGGCATCAACCCCCTTGACGAACTCGACGTAATGTAAACGCTCGGATACACGTTGAAAATTATAAAGCCACCAGAATATACGAGCGATCATTCCATGTAGTTGCAGCAAAACTACCAAACATAATGCCCACCATGGAGCTGGGCGATGTCCCTCCAACCTACAGGATCGATCTCTCTCGCCCCCCAGCAGAGCGATACGTTGAAGTTGCCAAGAAGCATCGCAACGAGCTCAGATCGCTCACCGCTCTCTTTGATGGTCTGGTTGAGAGCATCGCACCCAATATCTCGCTGCAATGGGTGAAACGCGTGGCGCGCCTGTTCTTGCGTCGGGTGTATTCCGACGAGGAAACGGAGGAGATCCGGGGTATCAGCCAGGCAACCGGAATCGAGATGTATCTGATCGTCTCGCTGAATGTTCTCCTCGATATGCTGATGGGCTGCACGAGCGGCGCGGCCCGGGCACAAGACAAGGACACGACGCCTCGCATGCTCCATTTCCGAACGCTGGATTGGGGGATGGATGCGTTGCGGCGCGTGCTTGTGCAGTTTGAGTATGTCCGCGGCCCGGATTACGATACCGTGCTGGCGACGAATATCACCTACATTGGGTTTGTGGGCGTGTTGACCGGTGTTCGGAAGGGGCTGAGCGTGTCGTTGAATTTTCGACCGAACCATGATTCGAGTGGGTGGTTGGGTGATTTGCGGTTCTATGGGAGTCATCTTCTTGTTATACTTGGCTTGCGAAGATCTATTTCGTCGATGCTGAGGCAGTATATCATTCCGCGGGAAACCCCACGGGAGACTTGGTTTGGTCGCGTTCTGGGCGTATTGGTCAGGAGACGTCGGAGGGTTGAAATGCCGACACTACGCAGTATCTGTCAGAGGGTGATGCGCACACCATCCACGGCGGCGTATCTGGTTTTATGTGACGGAGTTGAAGCCACTGTGATTGAAAAGGATCATCGGACTGCAAGGATGGACTCCAGTTCATCGTTCATCGTTGCGACAAATAACGATTTCCTCGGTTCAGAGCTCCATTCATACGACACGGCCACTGATATGTCGTTTGGCGCAGCGCTGACCGCTGGAGAGGCCGTCTCAATGACCGAGTTCATCCAAGATAGTAGGGAGCGAAGAGCATGTATGCAAGCGCACTGGGACAAAAAGGTGGCTCAAGCTGGAACGTCGGCCCACGGTCGGAAGCCACGTCATGATCCTTTGCGTCGCACACGCTCCTCTAGAAATCGAGTAGCAGATTGCCCAGTCGGTTCGACATCTACCGTCGTGGGCAAAGAGAGTGCAGGAACATCTGAGAACCATGAGATCACCGCAACAGCGGAGGAAATAATACAGTGGACGGCGACGTATCCAACAACGAACGAGATGACGCATTTCTCAGCGGTCATGGATCCAACAAGTGGAAGGGTCATCTGGATCCAGAGGTTCCGTGATCCTCTCAGTTTCGAAGAGATGTGGTAATCTCCTGGAGAAGTGCATAGCCATTGTTAGAGGACAAAAAATTTTGATAGCATGAGCAATAATGCGAGCAACGCGTGAATTTGCTCCAATAATCAGCCCAATGCCGTTGCCATCACCCGAATACCTGTATCAATGGCTCGATTGGGCTATCAAGAGCTTTGATTGGCCATTCCAACCACTCAGTCCAATCCGGCCCCAGGAAATCACGAATAGACTCGATGAGGAATTGACCACCATCGCCAAATATCCACGAATCACGGCAGGAATGAAGTAAAATGGCATAGTGAGCCAGTATCACAAGCGCTTCTGGCCGCCGCTGCAGTAGCAGGTCGATGTATTCCGGGGAAACAAGTACAGGCCATCCGGTACTGCCATGACTACTTCCGGCAAGAGATCCAGCAGCCATCAACGCATTCGTCGAGGCCTGTAGGTGCTCTATGGCTTGTTTGTAGATGTTTGTCAAGGTATCTCCGAGCTTTGCCGCTTGAACAAGGTTAAGAAGTTTCTCGCATCCCGCTCCCAGCCGACCGTCGAATTGATAGAGGGACTGACCGTCCACTATCAGCGGCTTGAGGACCGATTGGTGTAGCATATCCCAGGCTTTCCCGCAGATTGCTCTGACCCCCCGATGGAGTCGAAAACAATGCACGAACTTGTCGACAAACTGGGCGAAATCGTTCTCCCGGTATACGAGCACATCGCAGAGCGTGTGGAGCCCTAGAATAACTGAGAAGAAGAACAGTGGCACACACGTTTCTTGATTCACCTCCAAGTCCGTTTCTTTGAAAATTGCCAGCGCATGCATCTGGAGCTGAGCGGCATGGGTCCGGTAGTACTCCCGTCGCTCCGGACGCTTGGTGCTGAGGTGTAAGGCGCTGAATGCGAGCAGCTCATTCGCCACATAGGGTACTTTTAAAAGGTGCGGTATAATACTGAGGAAATGATCCGCATACTTCCTGCGGTCCAACTCCGGAAATGTCTCGGTATATAAATGGTAGAAAAGCTCCAGGTGAAGCATGTTCACTGGTGCATCTTGGGGAGTTCCCGGATTCGAGCCGAGACTGGAGCGGCCCGACGGCAGGTTGGTCGCTGGTGAGAGAGACGCAGAAGCCGTCGAGCGATTTGGCGAGTCTACAGGCCGTGTAACCTTGAACACATCGATCCCATACTCACACACCCTCTCTGAGACGGTGCAATTGGAACATATTGGACGGTTTTCATTGCACTGTAGGGAGGATTAGTCATGCTCCAGATTGCAACACGTGAGAAATCGGGATAGAATACTTTGATATGGCGGCGTTTGCACTCCAGACAACCATTCCGGGACTTCTTATGAGATCTGCGTGGCATCGTGAATGACAGCTCAACTTGCGTGCTTCAAGCCTATCAAGACTAACGAGAGGACGAAATCTCATTCGATGGACGACCGTCGCGTTCGGCTCTGGTCGCAGGAAGGCAGACAAGGTCCTCCAAATACGCGGAAACCTAAAAGCGACATTCAGGGGTCAGGAAGACACATTTCGCAGTACCGCTGCAGTTCAGAAGGAAAAGTGCGCCGTCCCTGGCCCGAAAAAGTCGAACAACGGATACGCCGATACGAGGAACCGACACTGCCACCGAATGGGCCTCGCGCGACGAATCGGAAGAACGCAAGTCCGCGTATGCACAGACCATGTGCGGTTTTGCCCGCCAAGATGATCCACCCTCGGCTTTATACGCGTATAGCTTCGGCACTGGCAAATAAATGTCTACACCAGCACGATTCCTCCAAAGAAGGGTCTGATCAAGTTCTATTATTGAAAAAGAGGCTGCCTAGTTGACTGCAATTGTATCCACCGTGTTCAGTTTATAAACGATTCATGTCCACCTTCGCCATGTCTTTTCTACTCATCACCCCAACTCATACGACGCTCTGCCGAAGCTATTTCAGCGACAGAGTATTCCTGCAATGGCAAAGTTAGAGCCATACGCCGGTGACTACTACCTTTGGAAATATGTGCCATCGATCCCAGCAGCTGTCATCTTCCTCCTGCTCTTCGTATGCATGACTGCCTTTCATTCCTGGAAAATATGGAAGACGCGAGCGAAGTTCTGCATTCCCTTTGCCATTGGAGGATTGTGTAAGTGACCTGTTACCCCTTTGCTGCGCGCATACAGAATTGGCTCTGATGACCTCCGACACCTCAGTTGAAATCATCGGCTATATAGGTCGCGTCGACTCGCACGGGAAGACTGGAAAGCTTGGACCATATATCATTCAGAGCGTCTTCATTCTTCTTGGACCGGTTCTCTTTGCGGCTTCAGTATACATGGTCCTCGGACGCCTCATCCGCAGCATTCAAGCAGAGAAGCACTCGGTTATTCGCGTCAACTGGCTCACAAAGATATTCGTCACGAGTGACGTGCTCTCCTTCCTCGTCCAGGGCTCAGGAGCGGGTCTTATGGCGAACGGGTCGAGTGCAGACATGGGCAACAACATCGTCATCGCGGGACTTGTGATTCAAGTGGTCATGTTCGGGCTGTTCATGGTCACGTCGTTCGAATTTGAGCGGCGTATGAACCGCGCTCCCAGCGGGCATGTCTTTGATGCCGACGTGCCGTGGAAGACTCACTTGCACGTTTTAGATGCCGTCAGTGCATTAATCTTGATTCGGTCGGTGTTCAGGGTGATCGAGTACGCCGGAGGTCAGGACGGGTATTTGCTTGGCCACGAGTGGACCCTGTACATTTTCGACTCGCTGCCGATGGTCACTGCAATGGCGTTATGGGCAGTGTGGCATCCAGGTGTCATTCAGAGCTCTGCCTCGCGCACGCACACACAGGCGCTAGATATGAGGATGGGTTGATCAAATAATGTCGGTGGAGGGAGTCTCTAGAGGAACTGCTGTTTATGACTGGTTTACGAGGTCAGTGAAGTATATGTCAGTTATTACCCATAGAAGGAATTTAGACACGTCATTTGAGGGAACGGTCATCAAGTTCACTGATAGAAATATTAGTCCTTTGGTGATCAATTTGCATCTATCCCTAAGGCTGCTGACATTGGTTATCTCGATTTCGAGGGGCGATATTGGCGCTGCCACTGCAGAATCAGGGATTCAAATAAAGGGAACCATAATCCATATTGTCCCTTGGTCACCAAGCCGTCGTCAATCAGGTAATCACGTCCACAGCCCTCATCGCTTGGTAGCTAGTCCTCTCAATCGCAGCTTAAGCCAGCAGCTTAAGCAATGAAATGTCTAAGTGGAACTGAGTGGGTCGAAGAAAGAATGCGACTACTTTAGTACTGTGTGGGGAGGAGCAACGGCAGAGTGGACCAGAGAATCAGCTGGCTTAGAAACGCATCCTCTTATCCTCGAATGCCGACCAGAAGGGCATAAAGTACTACTGGTAAACCGAATGCGGAAGACACAGCCATCCAGGTTTCTGGCAAGGTTTCAGAATCAACAGAATGGTGGGGGGCAAGTGGATCTGACTGGTTAGCGTAGTGCGGGGTTAGTCCGCCAGGGGTCTGGGGAATGCGGGAAAGGCGTGTGATTGGCTGAATCTCGAGCGGGGTTGCATCGGACCGGCCAATAGCCACGGTCCACAATTTTGGGTACGAATCAACGCATCATGGAATCGAGTGGACTCAGAGTACGGTACATGTCACTACTCACTAAGTCCGGGGGATCCGGTATAAGCTATGGTGGATCTGGGGATGTGGCCCGCCTCGACCGCTGGAGACAGAGAGCTGGTATGGGCTCACTAGTAGATAGCATAGATAGTGATAGAATAGCATCAATATACCGCCTAGAACTCAACATTATTCTATGATTATTGAACAGAGAACCAAATGCTCCGGCTTGTACTTTGTACTCTCTGTGTGGTGTGATGATTATGTGGCTTGATGTAAGTTGCACCTCCTTGCCCAAAACTACTAGTGCTCCCCCTTTTCTTCCCCTCCCTCAGGAATCCTGCGACGCGCTGTACTTTTACCAGTTGACAACCACGTAACTTACGAGGAGAGCGACAGGCAACAGCTAGAAATATCCAAACCCCTCATGACGGGCGAATAGTATTCGTTGTATAGATAATGTAAGACCAAGTCACATACATGAAACTCCATCCCTGCCAACTGGTGGCGCAATAATCAGGCCATCCAGGCCATGGTACCCAAACAAAGGAAAGGGATCGTAAGTAGAAGCAAGACACTGTCTAGCTGCAGGTCGTAAATAATCTTGAATGCAATAATTCCATCTCTCCAGGAGTACGGATCATCACAAAGTAACGCTCGATCATCTAAGTCGGCTCATGTAACGAAGTGTGAGGTAGACGGCGCCCATGGTTGTGTACATGGCACCCCCGCCTGCTACCCAGACCGGCCTGTGCAGTGCAAAGGAGGTCTGCGCAAGACCTGCTGTTGTCTTCGTTCTCTCTGTAAAGTTCACCTTTTAGTCGTCGGCCCATAGACGACGGTCTCACCCAGGTCGGAAAAGGAAATCTCAGTACATACCTTTCTGGAAGAGTCTGTTTCGAAGAGTACCAAGTTGCTGTCTGGCGGAGGAGGTCAAGGCGGATAGGTTCTGGATGATTGGAGCCGACATTTTGGATGATAAGTTGGGACGACTGGGATCACTTTGCAGGTATGTATTGGTAGAAGGATGTCACGAGTTTAGCAAACACGGGATACCTTGTTCTTGAGAGGATGTACGAGCATTCTCCAGCCTATATATACTCTTTCCTCGCCATCCTGATGCGGGGTAGTCACACGACAGGGGCTTCCAGGTAGAGCAGGAATCGACGTCGATGATTCTGGCTGGTGGCGTTTGATTCGTAGACATCGCCCATGGTAATCAGCATATCCCTGTCCTTTTGCGACGGCTACGCCTCCCTTGTACTGGCAATGATTGGGCAGTATTCTTCATCGCTAGTGGCAATCTGGGGTACCTCGAAGGGTGTGTGATGCAGAGACGCCCATCCGTAAACCTAATGTACGTGTGAGACAGTAACATGCCAATAGGATAACGGTTACTAGGGCAGAGTATCTTATTGCCACCGATTAGGCACTGCCCTGACCACAATTTCCCAATGGAATCGAGTGAATACTGGTGTCAACAAGAGCTATGGTCAAGTCGTCAAGTGGTGATCTTCAACGCATAATTACACAATAATAGGACATATGAGTGGCCCTATCTTCTATCCTCTTCTTACCAAAAGAAGGGAAGATGTACAGCCACGGCGTAGGGCCATAATCATTCCTCCACTGGTAAGAAGTGGCTAAATGACCACTGACCACTGTTACCTTAGGTTAAGAGCACAATTTATAGTCAAGGAATATACCAATGATGGATGCAGTCGCAGGTATTGTCCGGGTGAGCTTTCAAAGTGGAAATAATGAACATATGTCTTCCTGTCTGTGGGAAGGAATCTTGCAAGAGCAGCTTGTTCGATGATTGCTCATCACCTTAGTGTGCGGAGATGCAGCGACAGCTCAACCCAGAAGAAGATTTGCATAAATCTATCATCATGGGTGAGAGTATCTCCACCTTTCTTTCCCCATAAAAGGCCGCTCAGGCTTGATATGGACTCTTGTGGAATGTCACCGTTGCCGGAATGACAGGAAAGCACATTCCAGTCAAAGATGTCATCAATTAGTCAAGCAGATTTCAGTAGTCTACCAGCCCTTCAGACTGATAAGCTTCAGGAAGATACCCACTGGTTACTATCTGTTAATAGTGAAAAGTATCGGCATTATCATATTATTACTTGTACCGTCCTAGCAATGAAAATGACACAGTTCGATCACCCCACTCTTGCATGGGGTCATACAATAATAATGTCCGTAAGACCATAGGCTATGGAAGGAATATACCTTCGCCAGCACCCATCAATTTCCATGTGGACTCGGTGGTCTATCAAGAACTCGTAGATCATCGTCCAACAGGCTCAAGTCTGCTGTAGCTTTAGGCGCGACGGGAACGGTAGCTATCTTTTCCAGGTGTCGCTGAGCTCTCAAGACACATCTGACTGGGCGCTCAACTCTTCTAATTGGATCATCCCATCTACCGCTCGGAGTAAATTGTCCTTGATGATTCTGCCAGGCTCATAGAGAGTAGAATGCACAGTCTGGCGAAAACAGAGAGGCCATCTCCTTAGAGAAGAAAGCGCTCTAGTTCGCTACATGGCCATGGCCAACGCTTGGTCTGCGGAATCCATTGGGCAATTATAATATAAGGGTTCAAGGTTGCTTTGAATAAGTCACCAGCTAGACGAAGCATTGAAATATCGGACGGTTCACGCAGCCTGGTTTGATCGTCCATAGTGACCTGGGCCACATTCGTTAGGACGGCCTCTTGAGGTGGCATGAACCTATGTAGCGCTCAGAAATATATCTCCCTCCGAATGAGCGCAGTACTTGTACAACATTATTTCAGATCAGAATTAGACAGAGAGTAAGGCTGTGCAAAACGTTCAAAGTCGGACCAACGAATTCACATATATCCAGGTGCCTCATAGAATCATTGCTCTTTTCTGGAGCAACCTTATGAACTTTCGGCCCTCGGAGACTGGATTCTCGAGGACGTTTATAGAGTCACGTGATTATACCTTCTTGGCAACGTCTTTTTCAGCGACGCACGCGACCGTGTCTCCTGATTCGCGTCAGAGAATGCCAGCGACGTCGACACGAACAGAGTACCCCAAAATTACAGGCGCTCCCGACTATGACGATCCCGCGTACTGGGACGTCAAATTTGCGACTGGAAAAGATGTCGGGGAATGGCTGAACTCTGGTGAAATCCTGATCGAGACTACCTGTCCGAATTGGAGCATCGTCCTCAACCCGATGCCATCCCGCGTGCTTTGCACCTCGGTCCAGGCATCTCCAAACTGGGGATCAAACTATCTGAGGCCTTTCATAAGCGCAATTGGCCGGGAAGCTGCATTGTGGTGTGTCCTCTTGTTGAGGAATTTTGGAGAATTGCACTAATATTCCATCCTCTCTGATTAGAATGTGGATTTCTCAGCGGAAGCTGTCCGCCTCGGCCAGGAGCTTGAGAGCGGCAAGAACGGAGACCAGGCAATGCATTGGCTTCAGATCGACCTGGGATCATGGAGCGATGTTGCCGGGGTGGCATGCTATGCGCCGTTTGATGTTGTCGTCGATAAAAGCACGAGCGATGCCATTGCGACCTCGCCATCTGTCAGCCTATCAACTGAATCCGATACACGATCTATTTGTCCAATCATAAGCGAGATCTTGAAAGAGACCGGAGAACTCACGCTGTCTCCGGTGGAGCTGTTGGCTTTACACCCTGTCCCGCTGACCCAGAAGGGCAGTACCTGGGTTGCGCTCTCATATTCAATCATTCGGTTTGACAACCTCGGATATGCTGCAAAGTATTGGGCTCTCTTGTCACGCACCTCTATAAAAGCACCACAGGGGCAGATGTCGTCGTTTGCACACAGCCCTGAAGTCTTTCATTGGGCCTATGTCCTCCGGCGGAAATAAGCTCATAAACCCGGCTGTGCTGACTGTGCAACGACAGGCGGTTCTGACAAACCAGTACACGCAATTAGCATTTGCTACGACTACACAGAAACCAACAGAGACAGCACGCTCAGTAGGCCTTAATCCATTTTACGCGCGAAGTGATTTACTTCAGCTATAGTGGTTTCAGCATCGAAAGTTTCATGGCATCACAGCCCAAGACGCGTCAGAAATCCGTATAAGCAAGCATTGAAGTAAGTTTTCCTGCGCTACTGTCTGGCCAAGTGACTGGCCAATTCTTCGATCTCGTCCGGGCCCAGAAGACCCAACTTCTCTCGCCTTGTTGGTGCTTTCGGATCAAAGAAAGGCTTCTCTGCCAGGGCGGTTACCCTAGTGCCATGCCGCGGCTCGATTCCCTCGTAATCCCAGCTGGCGTTGTGAATGGTGATCCTTGTACAATCAGTCATCGAACGTCGTACATGGTAGGAAGCACATTCGTAACTTACCTGTTATCCCACAAAGCGCTTGTCCTTGGTGTCCACTTGAAGCGAACTTGGATGTCAATGTTTTTCTCATAGACATCGAACAGATACCCGAGGATGACATCACTTTCTGCTTTGTCTAGGCCGACAATACGATTTGTCATGGCTCGGTTTACCCAAAGAGTCTTCCATCCCGTGGCAGGATGTACTCGGACAAGAGGATGCTCTCGCTCAACATATATGGGCCCCTTTTCCGGATGCTTGCGGTCCAAATAAGCGTGGGTCGAGCGATAAATGGCTGTCTTGCCGTCGATGAACTGACGGAACGATGGTGATAACTTCTCATAAGCTGCGTAGCCGCTTGCCCATAGGGTGTCCCCTCCAGTGCTGGGCACCGTATCGTTGTGGAGATGGGTGACGCCCGCTGGCTGTCGCTCATGCACGAGATCTGTATGCCAGCGGGAAGCGCCTCCAGGCCGGCGGAACGCAGCCGGGGTTTCTGCTGCCTGCAAGGCCGGCCACAATACAGTGACGCCGGGAACCCCAGGAACCTGTGGTACTTGCGGCTGAACGAGGATTAGTCCAGTGCCCTAGCAAACTTGCCAGATGTGATGCAACGACGTACATGGACCTCGACCTCACCGAACCATTCGCCCAGCTCCTTCTGCTGCTGTGGGGAGATATCTTGGTCTCGGAAGAAGACAACGCTCCTTTCCGCAATCAGAAGGCCCAACTCGTCTTTTTGCTTGTCGTTGAGATCCTTGAGTTGCAGCCCCACGATCTCGGTTCCGATGTGCTTGGTGAGGTGAATGACCTCCTTCGCTGCCGACAGCAGAGCCTTCTTCTCGGGATCGGCGCGGGATCCCGGGTCGATGTGAGGGCGATCATAGTTTCGGATGTTGTAGACATCGTCCACGTAGAGAGGCCGTGCAGGCCGGTACGGATATCCGGCTGAGAGATCGATGCCGGCCTTTTCGAGTCTTTCTTGAGCATTAGGAGGGAGAGGAAGAGTCTCCTTTCTTGGCTCTGCGACGTCGACAATGCGGGGATCAATTGCAGCAGGAGCCATGATGCTAGTATTTGATGACCGTAACAAACCTTGGAATGGACGAAGTGCAAGACAGTGTCGATTCTGGTTTAATTATAAGATACTGAATACTGAATCCATCCCCGCTTTAGTTGATTAGCCAGTGCATGTGTGGGCACTGCCTGTGTATGCGATCACATCATCATCACGACCCATTACGCCTTCCACACCATATCATATGGGCTCATCCGCGATATTTGACACGCTCGTGGCCGTGCCTTCCCCTCACTTCGTCTTAATTCCTGCTTATCTTCCCAAGCCCCTCAAATCGCATCAGTCTCGACCGTCATACGGACAAGATCCGAATATCCTCATTCAGGGATATGATGGCGTTGAGACAAATGGATTTCAAAGCAACTTAACTTCCAGCCCATGGATCGAATAGGCTTGACTTACACGGCAATGTGCTTCCGGGACGGTGAAATCCCCCATTTTTGTAGAGTCTATGCACAATCGTTATTCGCATCGCCAATGGTGCAATTCGAGAATTGATCACCTGCCATTGCTTAGAGGGGCACTCATAAGGGATTCCTGTCAAGTTCTCGCCGTTGGAGCAATATTGAAGCACAGTCAATACAATGACTCGCCGTCAAATCCATCACGTGGCCGTCATTGGCGCAGGAATCAGCGGCGTTGTCTCGGCCGGGCATCTGCTCGCTGCGGGGATTGAGGCTACGGTATTTGAGAGGAATCATGCTGCAGGGGGAGTCTGGTATGTATTGTCGTAACCTTTCCTGCTGCTGGCTTTCTGACAGGAGGCTACAGGTTGTACGACGAGCGCAAGCCCCTTGAACCCGTCTACCCTTCCGTCAGTCCCTCCCGCGCCGAACAATATGCGGAAGCATCAGATGTTAGGGATAAGCGTGTCCTGGAACACGCGCCTCCTGGGTAGGTTTAGCTTATACTTGTCGGAGGATATGTGTTAACATGAGTAGTCCATGCTACGAAGGGCTCAGGAACAATGTCCCGACACCCTTGATGCGCACAAAGCTTAACGCCTGGCCAAGAGACACACCTGACATTGTGAGTCACGTTGTCATGAAGGAATATATTCAAGATACGTCAAGGAATGCCGGCGTTGATGGTGTTACTATCTATGGTGCGAGGGTGAAAAGGCTGCGCAAGCAGGACGACCGATGGGAGGTCTCTTGGTCCACGCTTTGCGAAGATGAGCGAGGTGAAGTTGTGCAAGAGGAGGAGCACATCAAAGTAGGAGCTATCATGTCAGACTGCATTGTGGACTGGGCTGACTGTTGCAGACATTTGACGCAGTCGTCGTTGCCTTTGGGCACTACCACGCGCCACGTATTCCCGACATTCCTGGCTTATCAGAAGCGAAGGCACTATGGGCGTCTCGGATCATTCATTCAAAGGGATACAGAAGGCCCGACGGATTTGAAAACAAGGTGAGCCTCCCAGGTTAAGGGTTATGTGGAAATTGCCAAAGATGCTGAGATTTACAGAACATCCTCCTCATCGGCGGTGGCGTATCCTCGACAGACATTGCTCGTGAGATAGGACCAATCGCCAAAAGCGTATATCAGAGCACCCGCAATGGTGAATTTGACCTGGCTGCTTCGGTACTTCCTGAAAACGGAGTAAGAATCAGCGAGATCGCAAGATTTGAGTTGCAAAGCAACAAGATATTACTGGAAGATGAGCATTTGCCCTTGATTGTCCACCTCAAGTCAGGCCAGAAGCTATGCGGTATTCACGGCATAATTATCTGTACGGGCTACCACATTACTCTGCCCTTTCTTCAGGAATATCACGATGATGCGACCTCCCCCGCCGATGCAAATGAAACAGTTCTTGTGACGGACGGTACGCAGGTGCATAACCTTCACAAGGACATCTTCTACATCCCCGACCCGACATTGGTGTTCGTAGGCGTCCCATACTACACAGCAACATTCACGTTGTTTGAGTTCCAAGCCATCGCTGTTGCAGCCGTCTTCTCTGGCATTGCTCAGCTTCCTCCAGCCGAAGAGATGAGGGCGGAATATCTTGCTCGCATCAAGGCGAAGGGGAGTGGACGGGGATTCCACTCACTCAGGAATGTGGAGGAGCACTACGTAGCGGATATCTTGGGCTGGGTGAATAAGGCTCGGGCTTCTCACGGATTAGCAGCCATTGAAGGACACACTAAGACATGGTTGGAGGCGAAGGAAGCACAGAGTGAGCGACTGAAACAAATTTTTGGGAGCGGAGCGAGGAGGGATAGTGGGGTGGGCGAGTTCCCGGTGTTAGAGATGTGTAGCTGAGTCGTGAAGATGGTGTAATTATCAACTGCATTTAGACAATTGCCGCCAGCCGCGTTCTCCTCAATCTAAGGCCCTTCCTCCAAACATCTGCCATGAACTATCCGGTTGTGGGGCATATACAAGTGGGATACTCCCTGCCTACTTTCCTGTACCCCACGTGTACGTAGTTGGACCCTAAGGAGCGATTTGCATTGGTGTGGCTGGCACATCATCCAACAATAGTATGGCGAGCTTTGATGATCTGTGTCTCGCCATTAGCACGAGCCAGTCAGCAGGCATCTTGCAGGCTTCTTGACATGACCACTCACAACATGTTTATGCTTACCTCAACCCAAATTGCGCAAGCCCTACCGACAATGAGGAATCCACCCTAGCAACAACGTCCCACCTTGGCTTGCCTAGTAGTGTCAAGATAGAGACAAGCTCAGCGGGAGCCGACTGGATGTAATAAAAGTTGGTTGTTGTCAACTACTGGGAGAGCTTGTTCAATGACAGTGGCCGTTAAAAATGCGCTGATTCTTAAACTCGGATTCAAGCACCATTTCTGCTACTAGCAAGAGCCTCACAGCTGCTCAACAACCATCTACATACTATGGCCCCCTCACCGGCAGTCATTGACGAAAGAGTCGTCGACGATGTTCCGCAGGAACGCCCGAAGCGGAAATGGATCAGTTACATCTGGGACACGTTCGACAAGTCGCCCGAAGAGCGCAAGCTGCTATTCAAGCTGGACACAGCGATACTAACTTTCGCTTCCCTTGGTTAGTACATCAACAGTGAATCATGTAATCAAGCTGACGGCAGATGCAAGGATATTTCATCAAGTATCTCGATCAAGTCAACATCAATAATGCGTTTGTCTCTGGGATGTATGTTGTTTATCCTCGTCCTCGACAACTATCGTTGACAGAGTACAGGAAAGAAGACCTTGGCATGTATGGCAACCAGCTCAACTACATGCAGACCTGCTGGACGGTCGGCTACGTGATTGGCGAGATACCCAGCAATTTGCTCCTGACGCGTATCCGGCCCAGATATTGGATTCCGGCGATGGAGGTATCGGTACCATATTCTACGCCCTAGACTGTCTGATGCTAACGCAGACAGCTGCTATGGACGGTTCTGACGTTCGCAATGGCGCGCTGCAATAGCCCAACTCAATTTTATATCCTGCGCTTTTTTGTGGGTACGTGATTGTGATCATAATCCCACTGTACGGGTGGATAGTAACAGCAACAGGGCTCGCAGAAAGCACATTCTACCCCGGCATGCAGTACATCATCGGCTCGTGGTACCGCAAAGACGAGCTGGCGAAGCGATCCTGCATTTTCCATACGAGTAGTGGGATTGCGAGCATGTTTTCTGGATACCTGATGGCGGGCGTATATCATCTTGGTGGCAGGGGCGGGTTCAAGGGTTGGCAGTGGTATGTTGTAACTGCAACGCATCCTGGAGGAGTCAAGTTGACCGTCCAGGTTGTTTATAATCGACGGTGTCATTTCGCTTCCGGTCGCGCTGAGTGGGTTCTTCATTCTGCCTGATGTGCCGGAGATTTCGAACCCGTGGTATTTGACCAAGGAGGTGGGTTGAGTTGCTGTCGCATCAGCTTGCAACTGCTGACGTGTGCAGGAAGTTGCGCTGTCACAGAAAAGAATGCAGCTGGAAGGGCGGAAGAATAGAGGGCCTCTGACCAGGAAGAAGCTGAAGAAGATAATCTCGTCGTGGCATATCTATCTGCTGACACTGCTGTACTTGTATGTTTATATCCACAGAGCCCGATTGGCGCCGACAACTGACACGGCCAGGTGTTTCAACAACGGTGCTGCAGGGTCCCAGCCTATATTCCAACAGTGAGCAGTTATCCCCTGTCATTGTGTACATATACTGATTAACAAACAGGTACCTCAAACATTCGAAAGACCCCAAGTACTCCGTCGGCCAGATTAATGCTTATCCAACTACCACCGGGGCTGTTCAGGTTGTCACCACTCTGATCTACGCTTGTAAGCAGGCTCCATTCTCTACCTCCCATACCTTCTGACAAGATAGGGACGTCCGACTCCATCCTCGACGGAAAGCGATGGCCACCCGTCATATTCGGCGCTGTAAGCTCCCACTTATAGACAGTAGTCCCTCAATCTAACAATGCAGATAATCAACATCATCTCCTACACTTCTCTCGCTATATGGGATATCCCCAACGGCTGGAAATGGACCTGCTACATCATTGCCGGTGCAGGGTACGGCCTAAGCGGTCTTCTAATGGCGTACGTCCCGTCTCCCCTTTCACTTTACTTACATACCAAACTAAAGGCAATAGATGGGCACATGAGATATGCGCCGAGGATAACGAGGAACGCGCGCTGGTGGTAGGCAGCATGAATGAGATGGCGTACGTGTTTCAGGCGTGGTTGCCGCAGGTTGTTTGGCGGCAGGTTGAGGCGCCGCGGTACCGGAAGGGGTTCGTCACGGTGACGGTTTTGTCTGGTATACTTATCATAGCGACTTTTGTGACGGTTAGGCTGGAAAAGAGGGAGAAGAATGAGAGGTGAGTGGTCCTTGGCCTTGTGACGTGGAGTAATTGAGCTAATTTGTTGTAGGGCTGGGAGGCTAGCCGACACTACGGAGCGCGAGAGTGAGGACAGTTTACCGGGGGTAGATTCGGAGGATGGAGGTGTGGTTAAGGTGTAGTTGGACTATGCGAATGGCATTTGGAGAGGGTTGGGGAATGGGAAAGTATACAGAGTGAATGGAGCGTTATGATACCACTGTTCATGAAAGTCTATAATGAGGTAAAGCTTTTATAGACGCCGGTAAATGCAGATTCAAAAGTCCGCCACAAGTATCAATCGCCAGACAGTACATTACAACACCATCTGCCAGGTGAACCTCTTTCCCTTGACCATCGCCAACACCCCAACAGGCAAGAACCGCTTGTCCACCAGACTCAACCCGCCAAGGAGTCTCAGCGGCTCGTTGGCATAAAGCTGCAGTATCCATTTGAGTTCATTATTCCCCACCGGATAATCGATCTGGGACTGCACCTTTTCCAGCGCGCTCGAGACCTCTTCCGTAAGTTTGATATCAGTTTCACCTGGAACATCAACTTCATGTACAGAACTCGCAGATGGTTGTCGGTGGATTCTCTGAAGCGAGCGTATTCCTCAAAAGACATGAAGGTACTCAATTCGCTTCTATCAGGGACAGGGGTTTCTCCAGACTCTGCCCCGGGGAGGACCTCCTGGTACAGCTGAAAGCGCTCGCGTACGGTCAGCTCCTCAAATTTGTTCTTGGCGTCGAGGTATGCCTGCTTCTCGTTTTCCTTGTAATCATTTATAAGCTGGACAGGGGTAGAGCTAAGCTCATCGCGGACCAAAAGCGTGGAGACGAAAGGATTCCGCAGACCGAGACCGCCCAATTGCTCCGGGAAGAAGAAGAACGCGTCCGGGATTTCGGAGACGCCAAACCGTTCCTCGATTATGTGTCGAAGGTGCTCCGTGACTATCGAAGCGCGACCATGGGTGTTGAAGAGTGCCTTCTGCACTTTTTCGTAAGTGGCAAGGATGAGATCGACGTGGTCACGTTCGAAGCAAAAGGCCGGCTGGCCGAAATTGCTAGTGAAGAAGCGGGCGATGCAGACGCCGGTGCAAGGCCAGCGCACAAGGCCGGACCCAACAAAAACATCAAGCAGCGGGTACTGCGCAAGGTTGCGACGGAGACTCACCTCCACCAGCATCTGGACGGTGAGGCAGCCGTGATTCAGTCCGATATGAAATGGTACGGGACCCGTCTTCCGCACACCACCCTCTTTGCGATTTTGAGATTTATCTGGCAGATAAGCTACAGAGTCTAGATAGCGGCTGACAAAAGTGAAGCCTGAGTGCCTGACAAGGCATCAATCACATGACTCGAGTCACCGACAATTCACTTGCCAAATCAAAACAACGACACTTCGCCCGTCAGCCTGAATTAGCGCTCTTTCATGCTCAGCCTCGCTCATCTCCCAAAGGGGCACACTAGCCAATTATCTTGCTGATACTGATAGGTCAAGATGGCCCGTTGCTGTATCCAATCAATTGGTCGCTGCTTTGACAGTGACGGCATCGTTGTCGATCACCGTGACACTCGCCACCTCCACGGCCCCATCATCGTCGACAATGACTGATGACCTCCTCTGGTTGCTTTTCAAGCTGTCAAACACAAACAGCCTCGTTGCGTCGAATTCGTCGAAGTGGTGTCACGAATAGTGAACTTACACGGTATAGACTATAACCTGGCGGTTTTCTAGAAAGAGGATAACCAGGCCAAGAATGATGATGTCAGGCAGAAAAGCAAAAAACCACGAACGAGCAATGAAAGGACCAACAAGGAAGACTTGATGAGAATCTGACCGTCGTCAAATCAGCGAAGCGCATATATTGCGTCGCGCTCATAGTGACGAGGGCAGCACACCACTATACATACCTGGATGATGATGGTGGCTATCGTGCGATCATCGCTTTGACGTCACACGGGATGCAGATTGTCTATATAGTAATCGCACAATCTGTTCATCATGAAATGCAGTTCTCATCCTTGCCCATCACCAAGTCAACAAAAAAACAATCATAACCAATCGAACCCTCTATCTCATCCAGTAAGAGCAACATGCCTCTCTTCCACCGCAATTCAGTATCCAGCTCCTCCTCCTCGGCCCGTAGCATCGAGGAACCCAACCAACGCAGCCACGGGTTATTCGGTGGTCGTAACTCGCATTCCAGCCACTCCTCTCGCCGTTCCTCGGGTAGCTACTCGAGCGGACACACCCACCGTCGCGGTTTGCTCAGCCGACACAATGAAGACCCCTCCATTGCGGCGGCCAAGGAGCAGGTCTTCCGGGCCGAGTCTGCAGAGAAAGCGGCCGATCGGGCTCTGAGGGAATCCCGGATGGCGGTGCGCGAAGCCAAGGACCATGTGAAACGACTCGAGTACGAGGCGGCTGAAGAGTAAGTTCTTGCTTGCTGTGTACCAGAGGTATTCCGTACGGGAGCACTGATTGGCTTTGGTAGGGCACGACTGGCCAAGCATAAGCAGTATCAGGCCAGGTCCATCTCGAAGAGAGCTAAGCCTCTTGGACGTAAGTTTTGACTCTTGGCCTGGCTGTCCATGTCAATGCCACTAACGAGGACAGGCCATGTCTGATCAAACGCCAGTCATCTACGACGGGAGGACATAGTGGTTGTTTTATCGTTTCAAGTGATGTACTATACGATATTTGTTTCAGAATCTGTATTTGTAGCATAATGTGTAACGACTTTATGATTCATCCCGCCTATTCCACTTGTTCCACTTACAAAACACCACAGTAGATCACGCATTAAAATACTTGAGATAATCAAACTTCCCAAGCGGCACTCCCTTACTTCTCAAGATCGCATACGCAATGTTCAAATGGAAAAAGAAATTCGGCAGTCCAAAACGATTAGCGTACGACTCCCCGGTAAAGGTCGCCTCATACGAGCCAAATTTCACATGGAACTCCGTGTGCTCTTTGCCCTCAAAGAGCTTAGGATCCACAGCCTTGATCACCTCGATGGTCCTGTTGATGCGAGCGTAGAACTCTTCAAAGGTAGTCTCGTTGTCTTCCATAGGCACGTTTTCGGTTCCGGCGAGTCGGACGACGGAGTTCTTGGAAGTGTTGCTGACGGATTGGACTTGGAAGCTCAGAGGTTTCATGTCTGGGCAGAGACGGGCCTCGACGAAGTCGGAGAGGGGGATGTTGTTCTCCTTGGCATAGTCTTCGGCCTTTTTGAGCAGGAGGGTGAGGGTTTCCAGGCCCTTGAGGTAGGTGGGGACCGTGTAGGTATAGAGAGTGGAGGTCATTTTGCTTAAGTCTTTAGTGAAAACAAGTAGTTATTGCGTTTATGATCTTTGGTGTGGTTGTCTTTAACTAAACGATGGACTTCCTGCTCATTTATCTGAATGCTCACCAACGGATCAACATCCAAACCCCGCCATCAATACGAGACCTACCACGGTCGAATGTTTTCAATCTATCCGAATTACAAAGCAATAGAATTTCCAGTGCAACCTAGAATAACATGATTTGTAATGTCAATTGCCAGATGTAGAAACCTGCGGACGTCTCACCATCATATTGCTGACCCAAGCAACCTACACGTGTCTTGTTCAGCTGGATTGGTGAAAAGGCCACATTGAAGAAAGAACGGCCCGTGTTAGCCGAAGGTTAATTGCACAGTTGTAAAGCTTCATATCTAATGCGTACATTATATTCCTCTCCTCTCTGAAATGTTATTGACACCGCGAGCATCTGCTATACTATTGTTTCGTCATTTCATCGGATCCACGCTGTTGGATAGCAGATTCCAGCAACAGGGGCCCCCTGGCACGCAGAGACACTAGTGGCCGCTAGTATATATCTTGCACTAATCCTAATCCCCATCTACTCTTATCATAAAGAAATAATGGTGGATACTGCTGAATAATCACTTAATAATTAGCTAAATAATTAGCTATAGTTTATAAAATTCCTTCTTCTAGTTTAGCTCTTTTTATTTATTTATACTTACTACACCCCTCTATTGTAGTGGGCAGGGCCCGCTGGATGCTCATGCTCACTAAGCCCTTGTGAACTGCCTTAGGTATTAATAAACTCCTATCTAACCTGGACAGCAGTAGTCATATAACCTTACTTATTATTTATACTCTCCTTTTTATATTTAGCTGCTGTGGCCCTAGTTAGAGACTCTTTAGTAATTTCTTACTATCTAAATCTAGGTTATAGATTTATATAGCTTCTAGCCCATGATATTAGAAATTACTTACTTATAGATAGTTAGATAGAACTAGTAAGATAGCTAGATAGAATTAGTAAGAGATAGCTAAACCAGCCAAACCAGCTAGATGAACCAGATGAACTAGATGAACTAGATAAACTAGATAAACCAGATGAACCAGACAAACCAGATGAACTAGATGAACCAGATAAACTAGATAAACTAGCTAAACCAGATGAACCAGACTGTATAGATAGTATAAATTATAATAATATATTATTATAGATATTAATATCCCTAGAGGGACCTAATAAAGAATACCTATAATAATAGAATGCTATATAAGTAGACCTTATAGCCTAAATAGCTTAGTAGCTATAAAAGATTATAAATTAGATAACTTAAATTAAAATATAGAGAGCTACTACTACCCCCTTAGTAGATACTACCTCTATAAAAGTAGTACCTATCTCTTAGGCTATGCCTATAGTACCTATCCCTACTACTACTCCTATAGATAAGCTAGTAAGAAGGCCTAAACTAATTCTACTAGACCCTAACTAATATAATAGTATTAATAAGGCTATATATAATATTTTCTATTCTAATCTACTATAAAAGCTAGAAGTTAACTACCTTATATTTAGTAGTTATTATAACTATATATAGTATATCTTTACTAGGCTTAAGGACTAGGCTACTACTATAATAAGCTCTTAGATAGATTAATATACTTAGAATAATACTATAATAAGGGCTAACCTAGATTATATATTTAACTAGCTTAACCTTATATTCTAGGATAGAAACTATGTAGAGAAAGCTATAGAGGAACTATACTATCTATAATAAGGTAATTACCTCTTTTATAATATATTAGTAGACTTTAACTAGCTACTAATAGAAGCTAGAGGTTATAGCTAGACTAATAATATAAAGTAAATCTTTATTAATAGTATCTTAAATATAGAGATATAAATATAACTCTTTAGTATAGCTAAGAAAGCTAGTTTTAAAGAATATTACTAATAGCTATAGATAATTATAGATTAAATTAAAGCCTTCTATATATAAGGAATAATTTAGACTAAATAGTATAGAAGAAATATATAAATTATAAACTATAATTATACTACCTATATATCTATACTCCTAGTAAATCTAGCCTTAAATATATTAAGTCTTAGTAATATTATAGATTAGGAGCCTTTCTCTATAACTCTAGCCTACTAGTATTAATATATAAAATAGATTAATAAAACTAAATAATCTTATTATTATATAGAAGGAAGATATCTATAATATAAAGCTTTAGATTATATAATTAAAAGCTATTAATACCTAGGTATTATCCCTTCCCTAAGTAGAGAAATAAAGCTACTATATACTTTATAAATTATTAGATCTATACTTAAAGATAATAAAATAAATCTATAAACCCTAGAGTCTATAGATAAAGCTAGTAAGTTAGAAAACTAGCTACTTTTATAAAAAGACTCTTATAGAGGCTAGTTAAATAATTAATATAACTAAAAAGCTAATATTATCTATATCCTAAGAAAGAAGATATACTAGCTAATTATAGATAATTTTAAAAGATTATTAGATTTAATATTTCTAAATTTATTATATCTAGTATAATTAATAAGGAATATAACTATAGAATCCTATCTAATATAGGATATATATCTTATATAATTATAGCTAAATACTTTACTTAGAAGCTATAACTAGAGTAGATTAAGATTAAGCCTATTAATCTAGAAAATTATATTAGTATAATAGGAAGTATTATTTTAATAATTATCTATTTTACTCTAGATATTAGTAGTAACTACTAATATTTAGTCTATATATATATAGTACTAAAGCTGGGTAATAGGACTAATTTAATCCTAGGGACCCTATAAATAAGAGATTAAGGGGCTATAGTAGAGGCTAAAGGACCTTAATTAAGATT